ATGTGCACCGCCAGCATCAGACTCAGGCAATAAACAGTGTAGTGATGCCCCTGGCTAACAGTGAAAGGCACAATTTATCACTTAACTACCAAGGTGACTTTGAGAACTCTGCATGTGTTAGCAAAAGAGAATAATACATTACTCCAGAAAAAAAAGGAAAATTTGAAGAAAGACTATTCACATATTATTTAATTTAAACTTAGAATCAGTTTGAAAGGGAGCTCACTGGGTAGCCATCCACTGTCAGTAATAGACCTGCATATTGCCATTGCCGGCAACCGCTGCCCTAGATAATACCAAGCAGTGATTTAAGTATTTGTATTGTCTAATCTTCATTGGTCCTAACTCAATGTTCAGTATGTTGCTCCATTATAATATATGTGACACTATGTACTGCCTTTTAGCTTAAATCTCATTAAGAAAAATCCTACTGTGATGTTGATTTTTGTAAGATATAGTGCTGCAGAGAGAATATATGTGTCTACCTGAATAGACTGCTTCTCTTAACAAGCCCTGGGCCACAATCTTTGCAAGATATTTTGTATTCAGTTGACAAATCTGAACTTCCAGGCGGGGAACTATAATTATGTTTCTGGTAATTGTTTGCTTTCCAGCTTATCTATAGCACATGTAAAATGTATGGTATGCATAACAAACCCACTGTTACCTATAGAATTTACTTTGTTGCTATAAATCAGCAGTTTCCAGCATTTATGCAAATGACGCATCTGTAAAGGAGAAGAACAATAAAAAGGGGATAGTTCTCTCTAATCCCCTTGTTGGAATTATCAGAGCATGCATTGTGCCTGTGCTGGTGGAGGTGGCTATGAAAAAGTGATGGCTTATAGAGGAGCCTTTTGGGATGTCAATCTAATGACAGCTTTGCACACATATAACTGACAGCAGGAGTAGTTAGCTCAGCATGAAGGGCGACTCTCCAGATCGGATAATCTCATCACAGCAAAACAAAAATCATATACAGTAACTCAAATAAGGGAAAAATTGCAATGAATTGTGACATAGTCAGAAGGTACATGACTTTCCACCAACTATCTCCAGGATAAATATATTCAATTTACATGTCTCTCAATGAGTGTACCTGAGAGTCCAACTTGCAGTCTGAAAAATATATTTTCTAGAACAGTTGGACTGTCCAAGTAGGCTAAATTTGCTATACATTGCTGTATATTGGTATGGTCTGCTCAGCCCTGTTTTAATCAGGTAGTAATTAACCATAAGCGTTAAACATCCTTCATTTATTTCACAAGAGTGTATATAAGTTCTAGCAGGAAAACGACAAACATGAATATTATTTACTGGGCTTAGAAATATAAGACTCAAATGTTAGCTGGGGTGAAATACATGCCAGGGCTGCTAGTTATTTCCTGTCTTGGCACTGGTATCTCTCACTGAGGTCATCCAAAGTGAATTTGAATAATTGGCTTCACATTCTTTAACCCTTTTGCTGCTTTCGGCCATCTTCAAGATGGGCAGTACTTTTTGGTATTTTCCATTTTCACATGTGACGATGAAATCCATGTAACCAGCTTGACAGTTTGCAAAAAATCCCCCCATACAAACTTAATTGTTTTTTTGAAAGTAGAGAACCTTTAGAACAAAATCTATTATTTTGTACATCCCATGATTGTGGCTACTTTACAGCAGACACCGGGACCATGGAGAACAAAAGTAAGTATGGGGAAGAAAAGTAAAAGTAAAGAAGTAAAAACAGAGTGTCATCAGAGATGATTTGAGGATCTACAGCCGAGTGATACACAGATATACTCCATTTTTGTTAATAGTTAAGATACTTGAATGCATTTTTAAGATTTAGCTCCTGAATTTACACTTTAAAATCCTCTGTAGGTTCCTGTCTAATAATGTCACCTCCCTCCTTATATTCCAGTCTAAACAGTTATGAAAAAACCTAGCACTGGCTACTGAATCGATGGGGAGTAAAGGAGTGACATTACCCAACACATCCTCTCCTAGCTGGTGTAAGTGTTCCTTATGTAAGTTAAATGGTAGAAAGGTCAAGAGAGCTGGGTACACTAGAAAACACAATGCTTTTAACCCTTTCGCTGCCAAGCCCTCCGGAACATTTTTCAAATCAGCTGGCCAAGCCATTTTTGAATTTTCTGCAATTTTTTCCTATTCGGACGGGGGAGGGGGCGGGTGCAGCTGGCTCTGCCTCTAGATAGGCAGAGCCAGCTGTCACTCACGCAGCTTGGCGGATCCAGACATGATTGTTGGCATCCGCTTCAGCTGTGGCGTCTCAGTATACCGCGAGCTGAGCTTAGGGTGACGGGAGGACGCTAGTTTGTGTCCTCCCGTTACCCTAAGGAGAAATATGGGGAAAAGCCTTAATCCCATAGTTCTCCTTTAACGCAATATCACATAGAAGGATAAGGTAAAACTTTAATCATTTTGCAGAAACTTGCAACACAATGTTTGGATAGAAATAAACATTGCACGTGAAGACAAAAAGATCATCACAACCATGAATCATGGAGAAAGAAGCATCATGGTTTGAGTTTACCTAGGTTCCTAAGGACCTGGGTACTAGTATACAGGAAACAATGAATTCAAAGTTGCATGAAGTAACTGGGTAACGGCCTATCAACTGAAACTTAATGCTGCACCAAGACAGTGACCAAAAATACAGAAGCAAATCAACAACAAAAATGCCTTAAACAAAAAAACATATATATGTATATAATTGGAATGACCAAAGCAGAGACCAGACCTCAAGCCAACTAAGATGCTATGACTTGACCTGAAGGAAGGAATTCCAGAAATATCAATAAACTTAACAATTTTGTAAGGAAGAGCTGTCTAAATATCTCTTAATCACTGTTTATAGTGACACTAAACTCAGGAGTTAAATCTTAAAATGCATTCAAGTACCTTAACTAATAACAGAAATGTATCTAATTAGTGTATCACTCAGCTGTATACAGGTGAAACTCGAAAAATTAGAATATCATGCAAAAGTTAATTTATTTCACTAATGCAACTTAGCCGTCTACCAGGAGATTTTGGAGCACTTCATGCTTTCTTCCGCAGACGAGCTCTATGGTGATGCTGACTTCATTTTCCAGCAGGACTTGGCACCTGCCCACACTGCCAAAAAATTTCTGAGATTGTGGATTTGGGGTTTTCATGAGCTGTAAGCCATAATCATCACAATTTTGACAAATCACGGCTTGAACTATCTTGCTTTGCATGTAATGAGTCTATCTCATATATTAGTTTCACCTTTTAAGTTGCATTAGTGAAATAAATTAACTTTTGCACGATATTCTAATTTTTCGAGTTTCACCTGTATCCTCAAATCATCTCTGAATTCATGCTGACACTGTCCTTCCTTCTGGAGGGTGGCTACTTTTGTTCCCCATTGGCCCTGGGTGTGTTGTAAAGTAGCCTCCACTCCAAACACGCTCCCGTAAAGACTACAATCTCAATACAAATTAGTGAACTAAACGTGAGATTGTAGTTCATCACAGGAGTGAGCTTGGAAGGACAGTGTCAACATGAATTCAGAGATGATTTGAGGATCTACAGCCGACTGATACACAAATAAGATACAATTCTGTTAACATTTAGGGTGCTTGAATGCATTTTTAAGATTTAAGTCCTGAGTTTAGTGTCACTTTAAGTCTGATCAGCTGCTACAGTAAATATCTGGTGGGGGTTGTATAAAATGTATACAAATAAATATAATAATATACATGTACATGATGTATGTTGGTAAAGGTGAGCTTAGACCCAGTAAATAAAATGACTCTATCACTTTAACACAGATACAGCTGCTATGGACTTTGTAACTGTCAGCAGTTTATTGTGGTTACAGAATCACTTTAAACCTTCCTGGTTTCTCCTAAAACAATAGCTGTGTATTCATCATTTTGTTATGCGAGTTGCATAAGGACATTTGTATTTTAGGAATCATGGAAGGAAGCTTCTTGCTGAACACTGTTGAAATAAGTCCATAAGCCCCAAAAAGAGCCTCTTATTTTCAGTCAGCCTAAGCAAACTGATAGGTTTGGACTAAAAGACAAGAACAGTAAGGCATGGTCCCTGTGCAGCATTACTAAGCAAGAAGGGCAGTCTGCATACTTGATCAAAAATAGGATCACTGCCATAAATACATCCACAAAAATTAGGTTTTTAACAATATTCAGAAAACTGAGGTTACTAACCTGGTTGGTTCAGCTGTAGGGTGCTCTTACTCCACTGTGACAGCCCCACAATAGCCACCATCTTGGCTCCAAGACTGGATCGCCTCTTCTTGGTCGTGGTACCACCAGCCACATCTGGAGTTCCTGAGTTGCTCTTCTCTAGGTTGTACATCTCTCCACTTATGCTGGAGCTGCGGATGACATTCCTGGCTGAAGAACTAGCCTCCCCGTTGAACATTTTGGGGAGGAAAGATCTAGACATAAGAGACAAGGATATACTGTGTCACTGTTTTGTGTTGAGGAAGACAACTTGTGTGTCCCTGAAACGTTGGCTTATTGACCTATGTGATGTAATTTTGCAATAAATAATATTAACTGACATGTAATTGTGGTAATGCTGAAGATAAAAGAATAAAAGATTAGATCTTATTGATTAACATCATAAAATAATTATATTATTTTCTTTGTCTGGAAACCATCATAATAAGAGGGATCTAAATCCACAATAAGTGAGGTTTTTTTTGTGTGATATCACTGCATTGCACTGAGTTCTGTTACCAGCCTAAATCTGCAGAAATACATTTATAACTTCTTGTTTCCAAAACGGAGAGATAATAATAAGGTAATAACACATAAAGGACTGTGTCTGCCACATTCTGTATTATATCTCTGCTTTTATTTATACCCTACTGATTCTTGTTGTACTGTAATTTGGTGTAACTTATCTATTACATGCTTGGCAGGGGTCTTGTTTGCTTCAAACATAAACTGCAATCTTGTTCTGATAAACAAAGCTCTCTCCATTATATGTTGCAAGAATATGTAAGAATCAAGCAAACTTCATTTCAGATCTTTACCATCTCTGTGGCTACTGACATACTATTCACTTTCTCTTTCCTGTATGCCAGGTGGGAAGGTCTGTCTATTATAATCATACAATCAATCCCAGTATTTTGAGAAAACCACTGGGAAGACCAGTGAGCCCATCATATGATCAGGAAATTACACTTCTAGGGGCATTCTATACACAGTGTATAGAAAACCCCCAGTTGCCATAGTTACAGGGAGAGGACATTAAGGCCACATTCACACTGAGCGATTTATCGCACGATTTTAGCAGCGATATCGCTCATGTTTCCACGCGATATCGCTCTATGTAGCTTCTCCAATCCATTTCAATGGAGCTGTTCACATCTCGCCGCTCAATATCGCTCAATATCGCTTGTAGCTCATCGCTGTAGCTTGTCGCTCCTACATGACCCTTTTTTCTGCGGATTTCGAGCGATTTTGCTCCTGATTGCATACAGCCCAATAGGAAAAAGTTGCACGATGTCACGCAATATCGCACATATAAAATCGGCGATTTTCATGTCGCTCAGTGTGAATGGGGCCTTAGGGCTGACTCACACAAGTGTCATGCTACAATGTTCTGTTGTAGCATGTACCTGGTGTCTGCTGGCAGCGGTCTGTAATAATGCCTTGTGTTCTTACAACACAAGGCGCTGTTTACTTTTTTTTATAACTTTATTGGCAGTGTACATCCTGTTCCGCACAGCAGCACAATGTGGTGCACTGTGATGCAGTGACCTCCGGTGCAATCCACTGTGTGCTGCATTTTTCTGCATTGCACCACACATCACACCAGTGTTGTGAACAGGGCACATAGAAAACAATTGTTTTCTGCATGCCCTTGTGGTGACTGGCGATGATCCAGTGCAGAAAAACTCCAGTCACTACAACTGGTGTGAACGAGCTCTTATAGGTGCTGATTTAAAAAAAAAAAACATTTATAAAACACATCAATGTTCTTTATAGAGGTGCTTAGTGCTCTGTCAGCTTCAGAAGTCTGAAGCCAGAGGAGTGCTATTAAGAAATGGGAGTTTAAAAAAAAGCTAGGAGGAGACAGAGCCCTGTCAGTGGCATGTACAAGTCACATGATTGGCTCTCCTCCAATCACAGGACTCTTTCTGCTGCATTAAGCATTTTATGAATGGGCCGCAAAATGCTGGTAATGGTGTGCACAGCCAAGCCTGAGTATAACAGATAGCAGACAGCAATATAAAAATCCTCAGTTTTTGGCAGTTTAGAAAATAATAGGTGGTTGCTGACTGAAATAAAAAGGTAATTTTTACTAACAATAAGTAAAAAAATGTAAAAACTGCAAGGTGAGCCATTTTGTATCATATGGTTTGGTTCAATATTATGAGAACAACAGTAGTTATCTCCTTTAAGACACACTGCGTGCAATTCAATAAGGCATTTGCAACACATTTCTGGCAGTGTGTATGTAGTTGCAGGCTTGGTGCCAAATTCATGAAAACCGTGCCACATTCATTCATTGTTAGTACTGACATGTGCCGTAAATTAAAATAATCCTTTTTTGCAACTCTTTTACTGCATGGCACTATTGTAGCAAGAAAGTTCATCATATCAATGATAAGGAAAGTAGAGATATAAAAGACCTCTTCCATGTTGGAACAAATTGTTATTAACATAATGTTGATAGTGTGGCACGCGATATTTAATACGCTACCATTACTCTCCCAACGTTTCCTATCTGTAAAACGCTACTTAGCAATAGAGATGCTTGCGACAATTCTGTCAGAGATGCAACAAATTCATATACACCATACCAACCTGCACATGAATCGTTTGCAAGTTCCCCAATTTGTCGCACCACCGCGAGACATATTTCTAAAGAGTATCTCTTATTGAAACCTCCGACAGAGCCATTCAGTGAGAAGAATTAATTAATTCTCTGACTCATTCACTTATTTGTACATTTCAACTTAAGCTATTGAGCTTTGTAAAGAACAGACATTTTATTACAACATGAAATAAAGATATAAAGCACAATTTTTTTTTAAAGGAACCTAAAGCTCCATATGCTGTCTAGATATGGGAATGCAGTATGTTGTTATACAATATTTCATAGTCAAGTGAAAAACTAAAAATATTTTTACATTATTCATTATTCAGTCCAGACAATAATGAACAAAAAAGAAAACATGTACAAAACCATTGTAGATTATGTTTAAATTAAAGGCTAGATGGTAAAGTGAAGGCTTCACTTTTCCATAGCCTTTAATTTGTTTATTAATTTAGGGCCTTCACTATGAAGCCCCTGAATGAATACACATTTTGGGCAAGCCTAGAAAGTAATCCCTATTCCAGCTAGTTTTTACATAACAACTGATAATTAGGCTTCCTGCACAAAACGCACTGATCTTAAATTGGCCCATTTGCAACACATTAAAACAAAATGTATTACATATCTTTCCCCAATTACTTTAGTATCAATACCTTCTTTGAAAGCTAACTAAAGAAAAACTATCTTTGCTCAAAAAAAGTAATCTTTAAATCAAGCTGTGATAATGCAATGATATTGGACACTCCTATGAAGGTCCTCTTTTAATTACTGCTAACTGTTGCTTTGGCTAAATGCACTTCTACATTTTAAGGCTGAGTGCTCTGATCTTTACCTATTTGCCAACATGCTTGTACAGTAAAACTGACAAATCTGAATGGTGGCTGAACTACAAATTCCAGATTACATAGGTGATAACAAAAGCAAACACCCACATGGATTTATGCTGTTACTGTGTAGTTGGATATTACGACCTGTTTTAGCAATTAATCATAGGCTGTATAAGTAGATTCATAGGCCAAAAACTGTGCTAGTCAACCACCATAGACACCTTTAGAGGATGGATATTATATAGAGCACAGCACAGCATTGTAGGAGGAGGCAGAGGGTAGAAAGCTCAATACATTTCACAATTCAACTGTGAAAATGAAACATTAGCATTAGACCAGACCACGGAAGAGATTTTATCTTTAAAGGAGAACTATGAGGTTAGGGCTTTTCATTCACCTCATAGTTCTAGCCGACCTGTGACAATGAGACTGTCACAGGTCGGCTAGAACTATGAGGTGAATGAAAAGCCCTCACCTCATAGTTCTAGCCGACCTGTGACAATGAGACTGTCACAGGTCGGCTAGAACTATGAGGTGAATGAAAAGCCCTCACCTCATAGTTCTAGCCGACCTGTGACAATGAGACTGTCACAGGTCGGCTAGAACTATGAGGTGAATGAAAAGCCCTCACCTCATAGTTCTAGCCGACCTGTGACAATGAGACTGTCACAGGTCGGCTAGAACTATGAGGTGAATGAAAAGCCCTCACCTCATAGTTCTCCTTTAAATAAACTATTACACCATACAGGTTCCTAGTCCCAACTTGCAGCCCTTTATGATGTATCCTTTGGTGCTTACAGTGTGTCCCAGGACCCCAGTACTCAGCCTTTCTTCTGCCAACTGATTACTCAGACCAGGGAAGAAAATATATTTATTAGATTGTGTTTTTCTAGTTTGGTTTTCTTCTCACTGTGCTGCCCATTCCATTTTCTTTGTATTTTTTTCTCTGAACTTTTACAATAGACCTTGCTGAGTAAAATATGAGTACCACAAATAATATGGTGGCTGTGGGAAGCACAAATATTGGAGCACTGATTTGTAAAGGGACTGTAATTGTAGTGATCTTTAGCAGTCCCATGTAACATGTCCCTTAGTCTCTGACTATCTATGGCAGCATGTTCTTAGTCTCCAGCCATTCCTGTAGCATATCTCCAGTCTCTCAAAATCTCCTGTGGTATGTACCTGATCTCTGACCATCTACAACCTCAGACAATTTTCTGTAACATTACACGGACTGAATATTTTATGCGGCCCTTTGATGTTATCAGGGGTCACACCTGAACCCTCCTATATCAAATTAATTGATCACCACAGCTGCAATGCCTTGTGTAAAAGCATTGAGACACTGGAGGCATATGTTTTGTTGTATTGTCCTATTGCATTTTATCTAAGGGGAAGAAAGCTGAGCAGGTCCGCATGTACAAAGACGGTGGGTCCCAGGGAAACCTTCCTAAAAGGCTAAGGGTAACTAACCTAAAACCTCTGTTTTGATTTCTAAAGCCCCTGCAAAGGTGTTCAGATTTTTGCTTGGTGGCAAAGAATGAGGGGAAATGTTTGCTTGCAAGGAGAGAGGGAGGGGGAAATTTTGCTTGGGGTAAGAGAAGGGGATCATTTTTCCTGAGGAGGGGGACATTTTGCTTGAGGGGAGAGAAGACATAGGAATTATTGCTCAAGAAGGTTTGAGGGAAAAGGTTTTTTTTGCTGGCGTGAAGGGATGGAGACTTTTGCTTGGAAAGAGGGAGGGCAAATTGTTTTGCTAATGGGGGACTTATAGCTT